TTGACCACTTGGAAAAAAAAAAAATCCACTTAAGGGTTGAGGGGCATTAAACACGCTGCTATCCGTGACACTTAATAGACGCTGGCGAGTAACGAGCACTCCCCGAGTTTTTCTTCCCCTCCCCTCGAGTTTGTAAATGGAACAGCAGATTGTGCAAGAAACACACGGCGCACGTGATCGGCTCGCGCGAAGTGTCTCTCGTCACTTTTAATCGGCCAGTTTCGCGAACCTGGAATCCCATCGAGAGTAAAAGGTGTCGTTGCCAGTGCTTCGTAAGTAAAAAGAAGGCGCGGCCGCGGATGTCGCGACGCGATGAAGCCTCCGAATTGGCGTCGCACGATCGCAGATCGTCCGGCTGATTGTGCCGCCGGCAATAAAACGTTTTATCGGCTCTGTTGCTTGTCCCACACGCATTGCTTCGACACGACTTGGTGGGGTGTTATCAGACGACACGGTATCTGTTCCAGTGAGCTGCCTTTCCGCGGTTAGCTAACAACGTTGACACGTCGTTTCGTAGTCATCCTGCTGTTATTGTGATTAATGAAAGTGTAGAGTGTATATACAGAGAAATTTGAAGGAAATGCGTGTAGTACGGATAGATTCGATAAAGGTGGGATTTCCTACAAGCGTATCGTGTAATTCCTCGGAGATATATGACTGGACGAAATGTGCATGTTCCTGATTTTTTCTATACGCAATTTTCAAACATTGCGCCTAGCTTGTAAATATTCGCAATAGAATGTTCATTTTTATCATCTGTTGAGAGTACACATACCGCGACCGGACTTTTATTTACCATTCTTACAATTTCTCTTCGAGATTTCCCCTGACATTGCAAGTTTTTTCACTTTTTTTTCTATTTGCGTTTTTCTATCTTTTGTTTTGTTAAAATCGTTCCAAATATACACTGTAACTTAACAACGTGACAAATAGTCATTTTTCATTGAAGAGAATTGCTGCTACACAAATACCTCTTTATTGTCAAAATCTTCAGTTTCGTAGGAGAGATATAGTCATTATAATATAACTAACCTATTCCATTGATTAAAGAGTTTGACAATGAAAGTATAATTTTTAATGGAAAATGATAACTTGCACCAATTGACTTCTGGAATCTTCCAGTTAAAAAATGAAGACAATACTGGGACTCAGTTGACGATGCAACTGTTAGTTCAGGAAATCTCCGAATGTTACAAATAGAAAATTTTTAGCGTGACAGAGATTTTGTTGACTAAACGAAGCATGTTTCTTTATTATCATTGTTATTCATTAGTCTTATAATTTTGAAATTTCTTTGAAATTTCTATCAATTTTAACGAAATATTAAGTTCTCGTCCTTTTTCTTTTTTTCTATCTTCCACTTCACTAAAATCGCTTCAAACCTGACAATTATAAAGAAGACAAAAATAAAGAAAACAAAATTGAAAAACAATTGACAATCTTTTAGTTCAAAAAATCTCCGAATGTAGCGAGTGAACGATTTTTAATATGTCAGACACTTTGTTGACGCAAATGATGTTTGAAATTATCGTATATAAAAAAACAGGAACATACTTCTCTATGTATATCATCATAAAAAAAGTAGTCTACTTTTAAATTCCTTATAATTCTTGTCACTGTAGAATGGTTGATAATGAATGATAAATCATACGAGCCTTCAGCTTTTTCTAATAAAAGAATTCGTTGCGTTAAAATTCTGAAATCGTTGCCAGAACGTGATCGAACTGGGATTGGAGCGTTACTCGTAATGTAAATACGTACAATCTATACTAAATGGAATAATATTTAATCGAGCCAAGAACGTATCGATAGTGTGGATCGAGCCTTATAGGAAATCCCACCTTAAGATAGCTGCTAAAAGGGAGAATCTTGGCGAACAGATTCAAAAATATATATTACAGAATGAAGGATTCTGCGTGAATATTAAACATAGAATTCTAAGTGACGAACTTTAAACATAAGTTTTGTGAATGAATTAGACTTTTAGATTTCGAGGATCTAAAACACGTGCATCGAACATGACTTTTTGAAGAGCAATAAAACCACTAAAAGTTGAAAACTTTGATCGTATAACTTTTGGAACAAAAATCGTGAAATTGAGAGAATGAAACTGATCGATGCAGCTTGCATAAGCTGGGTCGCGGAGTAGCTGTGTTTTTGATAATGAAGAAATCGTGGTACTTTAATCGCCGTTACGATAGAAAAACTCGAAATTCTACTCGAGCGATAAGATAAACACGAACGAATCCTGTTAGATTTCACGGATATATCTGCCGAGGGGGAAATTAGTGAAATATGTTTCATGCTTCGAGAGTTTTCTTGAACGCGAAACGAAGAAACAAATCCACGGGGGATAGAGTTTCGCGGTACCGAATGAAATCGAAGTTGCAAGTGCAATTGGAATAACGTTTATTGAAGAAAACCGATGCATCGTTATACTGCAAGATCATAACGAAGCAAGAAACATCGCGACGATACGAGCGTAATAAGCCATGCGATATAAAGATTGATTTATTTGATAGATTGTACTCGTAAAAGTGTCTTGGCTGGCTTTGAGATTTATCGTGTGGAAGAACAGAATCGAGTAGAAAGTCCAGGGGATCGATCGATGACCTAAAGAAATCGTCAGTGATAAATGAAGAAACTGTATGGAAAATGAAACGATGTAAACACGAATACAGTGAGCTTTAATAGGCTGTTCTTTAAAACGTTATTCTTTTTTATCTGTGACGATTATTATTGGCTTCTGAAGTACAGATTAAATCAGCAGATTGTGATAAGAGAGAAAGTTACAACTCCTTTTTTTTATATAAACAAACGGAACTGTGATAATAGACTGTGTGTTATATAAAAGACGATAAAAGTGAAAGTGTTTGATTATTCTTTGAGAAACATTACCGTGAAATATAAATATAGTGACATAATCATAAAATTATTTTATATTATACTATACTTGTCAGAAACCAGTTACGGGAATTACAAATGCATCATTGCTCGATAATCACAACATTTACTTATTATGCTATATAATAAGAACCTAAATATGCAAAGTTAAAATAAAAACAAAGATTACGTTGTAATTATATATTATTCAGCGAAGAAAATTTTCTCAAAGCTCCAACATACGTATACACGTAACAACATAACGTGTAGATATTATCTACCTCACGAAACTGTATCACACGCTGATGCATGCATTTTTCGAAGGAGTAGAAACACAATCAGGGGGATCCATTAAGATAGAAAGCGGGGAGAAACGAAACGAAATATTTATCGTTGAAAAACATGGTATCGTCAACGATGACAAGAAATTGACAATGACAGAGATGACGCAGTTGAAAATTCGCTAGGGGTCGAAGGAGTTGAAGGATTTTCTTAAGGATAATGCACGGTGATCGCATGTATTGAACGGAAGGGTGCGAAGGGAGGAGAATGCACGAGAATGAACGCAAGGGAAGTGGGTGCGTCTGTTTTTAACGAGGCTAGGCTCAGAGGGTGCAGCTTGATCACTTTCCTCACTAGCAATCGCCTTTATATTGCTAGCAAGGATTGGCTTTACGAAAATTGTTACCGACCCCTGGAAACGCGATCACGCGAGTTTCGCCATCGGTACTTGTAAGTTGTACAACGATTTGGCTTTTTACTTTACTCGTGATTTTGACAGATGAAAAGTTAGAGATCAAAAGTCTGGCACATTTTAATAAAAAGGTGTAATTTCAAATTTTTGTATCGGACATAAAATTGACGTGACTGCCTATTAATTTCTCAGATAATTACATATTACGTAACTAGTAAACAACATTTTAGTATTGTACTCGAGTTAGAAGAAAAGATGTACTATTGTAGAAATCGTGAAAATTCGAAAGATATTCATTGTACGTATCAAAATTAATTAAATAAAATATGCGATACATTTCACATAATTTCATTGCAAAGGGTCGTCACTAATATCTAGTAAATTACAAGTTCGATTTCACTCTTGCCTGAAGCATGTGCTGAATGTACGATTTTACCAAAAAGAAGAAGGTTAATAGCCCGAATAAATCTGACCTACTCGTCTCCTTTCATCTCATATTTTACGCTCGTTTATCAAAGGACCTCTATTTCAAGTGGTCCTCTCCAATTTTGACAAGGAACAGTTCCATTTAAATGGCCACTTTATGCATACATATATTTGATGGCTCACACCTCTTGGTCGGTATTATTACTCTTTATCAAATATGCATATGCATCTTTAAAAATTATAATACAATTTTTTATACAATATTGTTATATTATCAAATTAAATGTAAATTGTATATTAATATACAAATATCTTCAAAAATCGTAACTATCACACTTTTATGAAAAAGAAAGAGAAAAAAAAAAGGAAAATAGAACCAATCATTTTGACGGATTTCCTACATCAATGAGAAAAGAAAAGAATGGATTGTGATCCGCATTTCCCTGTCCATGGCGAGGCAAGCACATCTTTCTCTCATTCTCGCTCTCTCGCGATCCCTCTGTCTATCTCTGCCCTGCCTTTTCTTTTTCTCTCGCATGACTCCACCTTCTCGACAATGACCACATCCACGGACACCGAGAGCACGGCAAAACGAGCAAACGAAACGAAAAAGATGACCCTGTTCCTGGGGGGGCCAAGGACAACGTTTCCATAGCAACGGGATCGAAAAGAGTGTCGTCGGGCACGGTTGAACATTGTAGAAGAATTAAATGCTATGCTGGTGGCACCGTCGAACCGGTCGACCGAGTCACTTTGTACTTGTTAGGTTTTAATAATACCTGCTGCGGCTATGGCCTCGCTGGTAGTGGCGATCCTCGCCAGCTAGAAGTGCCTTCTGCCGTCTCTTTGTGCCTTTTTTCGCGAGCACGCGCGAGCACAAGCTTACGGGATCGAAGTTCGACACGCGAGACCATAGTATACTGCTCGAAGGAAGCACATCTGGTGGATTGCGTAAGATGAAAACCGGTGATAATTCGAAGCGAATGATTATTCGATCGACGTGAATCGATTGGGCAGGATGCGTCGCTCGTGTGGTCCGTATGTGCTTACGGCTGCTTCGCAATCGTCGCCAATCAACTAACTTTATTTCCTACGTTTTCCTCGAACCGTCGAAATACCTTAGAAATCATTGATGATCGAGAGTTTCGAATCGTTTTCTTGATCGAACGACAGTTGGACACTTTCTTCGTTACCGATCACGCAGTGCCATAAATTATTAATGATCTGTCGCTGAATTTCTGTGTCGGCGTGGCTTTCAGTCAATGTTGTTGGTTGTCAGATTTCTTTTAAACAAACAAAATTTCGCTCGCTTATAAGAGAGAAAGATTATTAGTTAATTGTAACTTGTTTAGTTCGATTCAAGATAACTAATAATTGTTGCAAATGATTCATCTGGTATTTTGATAACGACGCATCGATGAAATACAACGATGAAGAAATAAATATATACAAATTTTCGAAATGTATTACACGACGTTAATAGAGATATTGTTATTAATGACGGATTTAAATTCTTTCAAAAGGTATAATATTAGCTTAAAGCCAAATATCCCATTTCAATATTTAAAATATTTAAGTATTTAAAATATTCAACAGGAATATCGAAATTTTTATGGTTGAGTTTATTTTTGCTTATCGGGGAAAAAACGGTACGGTCGTCCACGTAAATCACTGTTTCTTTGCTTTTGGAGCAATGTACAATGCTAAAATGACAGAGTGAATAATATGGAAATGAGCAAAAAGATGAAATAGATACTTTACTTCAATGGTTAACGTGTAGTGTTGTAAAGAATTCAGGATAAAAATTGAAAATTTAACGATGAATTTTAAAATTGCCAGGAAAACAACTAGTGTAGAATATAAATCTGCATAGCTGAGTTTAATTCAAACCATTGGTGCAGAAGTTTCTTTTGTGACTGTCATATCCTCTCGATAAAATACGATCTCGAAGATGGTCTGAAAATAGAAAACCAATTAACGATACGAATGATCTTGTAGTGGCAGTGGAAGCAGCGACAGTGCAGAGGGTGGAACCAGCGAGAAATTGTCTCCTAGTAAACTTTCGGAACTTACGTCATCCAGTCCAGGACCTTCGAATAATTCCTACAGTCTGCTTCAAAATGATAACGTGAGTACATGAGAAAAATCTTTCCTCAATTTTTTAGTTTTTCTCTCTTGATTAGTCTTTTTTTTTTTTTTTT